TGATGCTGCTTGGCCTGCTGTGTTCATCCAGCCCTGCACCTTGTTGTCTCGGATTCTCCAGCATCTGCAGTTCCTACTATTACGGAAACAGACCTTTTGGTCCAACTCGTCCGCACTAACCAGACATCCCAATCTGACCATTTGCCAGCAAGGCCCATATCTGTCTAAACCCTTCCTATTTTTATACCCATCCAGATGCTTTTTAATTGTTGTACTTGTACCTGTCCCCACAACTTCCTCAGCAGCTCATTCCATACACGTACCACTCTCTGCGTGAAAAAGCTATCTCTCAGGTCCTTTTTAAATCTTTCCTCTCTAAACTTAAACCTATGCCCTCTAGTTTTGGATTTCCCCACCCTACAAAAAACACTTTGGCTATTCACCTTTCCATGCCTCTCATGATTTTATAAACCTCTATAAGGTCAACCCTCAACCTCGAATGCTCCAGGGAAGAAAAGCCCCAAAATTTCCCTATAAGAGTTGAATGGAATAAATGAGGGGAGAGATTTAGGAATTCCAAATTTTAGGTCCTAGACAGCAAACTGAGGGCTGTCAATGATGGGTAAAGAAAATTGGAAATGTACAAGAGAACAGAATTTGAAAGAACACAAATAACACATAGTATATTAAAGACAGCAGGAACATGCAGCCCAAGGCAGATGGTGGCAGGAGCAGGCAGCCCAGGGCAGTGGCAGTGGTGAGGTCGAGACTGGAGTGGGGAAGATAGAGCCCTTGTGAGGAGTGTGAGCCCAGCATGGCTAAGCGGTAATGGACTGTGGCGTCGAACTGTTAATCGTGTTTCTTTGTTTTTCTATTTTTTAGTAAGAAGGACTGTAATGTTTAACTTCTTAACATTGTTTCTTTTTGTGCTTTGTACCTAAGATTCTGTATCCAGGTACCTTTGTACAGGTAGTTCTGCTATTACGCATGTTTTGTTAACGTGAGTTGGCTGTAACGAATGATGAATGCTGTTTGAATAATGCAAACTTTCTGCTGTACAGGTATAGCAATTGTCTGGAGTGATTTCCATATAACGCAATTTTCTATGACGATTTTCCATAGTGCGAGGTCACGCAAGAACGCAACTATCGCGTTATGGGAGAACTACCTGTACCTAAGATGGTACTATAAGTGGCAACTTGCAAACTTTTCACTGTACTCATGTGGGTATATTTGACAATAAATCTAATTCTAAAACAGGTATCCAAAACAAATCAGTTCAAATTGCCTTAATAACACTCTCACCTCTGTATCACGAGGATCTCAATTTAATTCATAGCCCAGACTTGACCACAAAAAAACCAACCGATGTTGAAGGGCAGACAAAACCGCTGAAAAAGCAGTACTGTACTTTCAGAGGCTCTGTCGTTTGGATAAGATGTTCAACTGAGGCCCATAACTGTTAAGATATTTGTAAAATGGAGTAGAATAGCGAGTCTGTTATCCTGATGAATATTTATCCTTCTATCAACATCATGAACGCATTTTCTGATTATCACATTGCTGTTTGAGAGTGCAAATTGATTGCGGTGTTTCAATGTTACCCCGTGGAATTCTAACAGCGTCTACACTTCACATGTATTTTAACTGGCTGTAAAGTGCTCCAAGATGTATGGTGCTTTCAAAAGCTGTAAATGAACGCATGTCTTTCTGTCTTTTTACCCATGTGCAAAGTTGTAAGTGGGCTGATTAGCTTTTGTTTTTGGGTCACTCGGAATCTGGCATAAGTACAAATATCCATTAGATGTGATTCCAAAACATTTCCATCTAGTTTCTAAAAAGATAACGTCATATGCCATAACATTTGCAAATAGTGGGAAATACAGTATGATTAAATTGCCGAGTTATATCCAAACACGCCTGTCTGCCTTAAAGAAGTCAATTTCGAACTATCCAGAAATAGTCACCATTTTGGAAGCAGGCACATTTTAGGCCATTTCCTACGGAGTTGCAAATATGTAACAAAAGTTACAAGCAGATGCTTTCTTCACACACCTACTACAACAAAATTTATGGTAATTGGTTATATAATAGCAATAAAATAATTGTTATTTAGATTTGTTACTATACATGGAAGTTGCTTTATAACGCGTTCGGGTGTGTTTGCTAGTAACGTGTTAAGCAGCAGTGTGAAGAAGTAGTTTCTGTTTGGATAATGAACGCTACCGGATATGAAATCGCGCCATTGCAACTGTATCTGAATTTCCTGAAGAAGGGTTTAGGCCCGAAACGTCAGCCTTCCTGCTCCTCTGATGCTGCTTGGCCTGCTGTGTTCATCCAGCTCTACACCTTGTTATCTCAGATTCTCCAGCATCTGCAGTTCCTACTATCACTGCAACTGTATCATTTCTTTTGCTACATTTTGTTGTCGTGGCGCACACGCACCAGAAGCGGCTCCAGCTTTCTGAATGAATGATTGAACGAGTGAGGTTTCCGTCTAGTGCTCTAGTACTGATCCGGCTCCAGTGTTTCCGCCGTGTGCTCCACTCCGGTTTCGGATCCGGCTCCAGTGTTTCCGCCGTGTGCTCCACTCCGGTTT